TTGTGGCATTCCTCCTTCCTCCAAGGAAAAGGAAACTCTGCCAGACCTTTCTACTGCAGCGAATTTGCCGGTGTTTGGGCCAGCTGAGCTGCAATCGAAGGGGCATGAAAAAGGGGACTGAGGCATGGCTCTACTCCCCGGCCATGTGGAATCATGGAATGGTTTAGGTTGAAGGGACCCCAAAGCCCCCCAGTCCCACCCCCTGCCATGGGCAGGGACACCTTCCACCAGAACCGAAAAAGCCTCATCCAGCCTGGCCTTGGACACTTCCAGGGATGGGGCATCCACAGCTTCTCTGGGCAACCTGTCCCAGTGCCTCCCCACCCTCTCCGGGAAGAACTTCTTCCTGATATCTAATCTAAACCTCCCCACTTTCAATTTAAACCCGTTACCCCTTGTCCTGTCACTACAGGCCCGAGTAAAAAGTCCCCCCAGCTTCCTTGTAGCCCCTTCAGGTACTGGAAGGTTCTATAAGGTCTCCCCGGAGCCTTCCCTTCTCCAGGCTGAAAAAGCCCAATTCCCTCAGCCTTTCATCACAGGAGAGGTGCTCCAGCCTTCTGATCTGATGTCCCATCTCAATCTCCCTCTTTCCGTTTAAGCTCATTACCCCTTGTCCTGTCACTATAGGTGAGAGGAAGGAAGATGGGAAGGAGCAGCCTCCACGCACTTGTCTTTATTCCTTCACTCCCCTGGGACCTAACAGGCAGCACTTCATTATTTTAGGTGGTTTTCATACTAATTTATTCTTTTAAACGCTGTATTTCTTACAAAAGCTCTCTTACTCCTTCTGCTCCACATTCACATCCCCCAGGTGATTCCAGAGCACTGCTGTCCTGACCGCTGCACAACCTCGACAGAGTTCCCTTTGCTCTTCATTTATGACATTTAGCACAATAAAAATGTCATTTCAATAATTCATCAAAAGCACCTAAAGAACGGTAATTAAGAATGATAGTTACTTTGGAAGGCCTCAAAAGAAAAGTATGTCTGCAAGTATAGCATACAATGGAAAATCCAGGAATATGGGTGATCTGTGAAATCAACTGGCCTTCACATTTTTAGTGGGATTGATGTATAGTTCTGTAACGTCTCAAATACCATTACTGTGTGCACAATGCCTCCTGTGGCCCAGTGCCACCAGCCCCTCAAGGGTCCATGAAATCTGGTTCTGATGTGAAGATAATCTGATTTTTGCTAACTCCAAGCACCTTTCCTATTTTCCAATGACCCTTATTGTTTGGGCATGATGCAGAGGTACAGGGGGGGTGCAGCAGGTTTCTTTTTCCGTGGCGTCTAGAGGAAAAGGTGCAGCCTGGAAGCTGGAGGTTACCTGTCGTGAGGACAACTTAGGTTTGGGAGACGGCTTGAGGAAACCCAGAATGGAGGTCTGGAGCACTCCACCCAAAGCCAGTTTAGGGCTTGATTTATGTATTGCACAAGAAAAGCAGAACATGTTATTCAAATAGACTGTCCCTGTCTTATTTTCCATTTCTTCTACTAGCAAAGGAACACCTTTGCTGCCAATACCCACAGCTCAGCAGGGTGGGGAAGCTATCCCCAAAGGCCTTCCAGACTTTCCTCGAGTTGCTTGCTTCCGAGTTCACTGGTGATGAGGATGAAGCTATTGACAACTTGGTGGAATTCCTGGCCACAAATGTGGAACGAAGTCCCAGGGAGTGCCTGCAGAGCTCAGCCAGGAGGGAATGGCTGCACCAGATCCAGCAAGCAGCTGAGACGAGCGGAGCAAGCCTGGAGCCAGTTTACAGCGCCGTCTTTAAGGCCCTCTCCCAGGTACACATCCCAGAGAGCACAAGTGCTGGCACAGTGACTCCAAACCCTGCTGCATTTGGGTGGAATTCGTGGGGGGAGCTGGTCCGAGGCTGGTTTCCTTGTGCTTTTCTGCACTTAGCTGGTGTTCAGGAGAGCCAGCGGTTATGCACAGGGGGTCACGGGTCAGATCTGCGTGACCGGAATTCTTGTCCATGCTCTGTCAATACAGGATGCATTTCATGGACACTTAGGTGTCACTTCCTGAAGGACTGACACTGATCAAATCTGGAAATCCATAGCCCTAGTTTTGGAGCTTCTGAAATGAAACACACCAGACTGTTTCGGACAAAGATGGTTAATTTGTAGTGGAGAAAGTTTCCTCTTTTACTTGCAGCTGCAACTTTAGATGTTTGTCCTCACCGTTAAAGCCCCCTGAGAGCAAAACTTCTCTTGTGGTAGCTCAGGTGTTCTTACAATTCTGTCCAGATTTGCCCTAGCAACTTGTTTGTCTGATTGTTCCAAAGGAATCTGCTATTGGAGAAGAAATCCATAGGAGTTTTGTATAGGCATTGGGATTATTTTTATATGAACTGCTCCCCATTAGCAGCAGAAACAAAAGAAAACTGTTTTCCTTGCCAATCAAAATACCGAGTGCCTTTGCATGTGGCAGAGCGCGCCGGTCAGACGCGATCGCAGCGCAGACGCGCTCATGTCAGGCAGTGGGTGCGTGCCATACAAAATCAGTGACCCAGAGCAGCACCTTAGCGAAAACGAGGGAAGTGCTAAGTACATGAAATTAGTGTAATGGCCAGAGGCTAATGTACATAATGTAAGGGGAAACATTTGGTTGCTAGGATGCAGAAGCCCATGGGGATAACAAGAAGATCAGTGCCGCTATTGCCCTTTTGGAGGAGAACCAGCTCTCACCAGAGCGGGGACAGCTTCTCCTGCGCTATGTGGCGTGTACCGCAGACGATGCTCCGTATGTTCTAAACCAGGTACTTCACAGAGACACGAAAAGCGTAAGGTAAGAAAAGCTGCAAAGAGCTGTTCCTTCTTCTCAAAAAGCCTCAGAATGTAGGGGTACCAGGCGGTGTTTGGGGTGCCCTGGAAACAGCAGTTGATAGTTCTCCAGAGAGGAGATCCCCCCAGGGACCGCTGTGGAATGACTCATTATTGTATACACGCCCTTACACTTTGCATCGTCTACTTAAGCTGCTCTGCTCGGGATTTCACTCCTTTCCTTGGGGAGATTAGCTCACAGTCTAATAAACCTCATCCTTTAGCAAAAGTCTATTATATATGGCCTACATTTTCTTCTTTAAAAATTAATTCCCTTACGCCAATTTACATCCACAGGATATTTTTTTGAGAACAATGCCTTTCCTTCCTTAGTGTTTACACTTTAAACAGCTTTCATGCCTCTCTACTTCTCGTTTCCAAAAGCTAGACATATTTGTCTCTCCCTTTAAATATTGCTTCTTCTAACCTATTAAATGTAACTGCTGCTCGCTTCTCTGTTCCCTGTCATTACACTCATTAGCTGATGTTTTTAAAATGTCCTAAGGATGTGAAGCACCTTATTTATTACCACTGTCTTTGGGATGGAAGGGGTAAATGTGATATTTCTGGGTGTGGTCAGAATAAGGAGCTAATACAAAGCAGGGAGAGATCAAAGCTGCAGTATTTATTGCTTTGCTAAAGGTTTTCTGCAACTCTGAACAAACCCTTTCATAAATTCACTTTTCAGCTTTGCAGCTGTTGAAGAGGGAAAGGCAATCCATATTCCAAGAGTTCACCTCCATGGGAACATCCACTTCTGGAACTATGATCGTCCAGAGGAGAAGAGAAATGGTTCCCTCCTGGTACTGCCGTTGCATGATGCTCGCTGGAGAGTCTTTGGCATTCTGGGACTGGACACTCTTCGGGACCAGTGTGAGAAAACCACCTTTCTGCCCCAGGAGATCAGTTTCTATCAGGTGGGCGCTGTCAGGAAGCAGCTCCTTAGGCCACTCTTCAAAAACCTGTAGGGACCACATGAATTTTACATGTTTGGTCTGAGTAAACGTTAAGAGGTGCAACCAAGAAAAGAACTGCAGGCCCCTGTTTACTGTATATGGGGAAAGCGGTGTGAGCAGAACATCTTATCAATATCTCACTGATCAGCCTCTTCTCTGTAATCGATTATGAGGTGTCACTTCATCAATAATTTATTTAAGCTTCTCCTGACTAGTACACTAATTGCACTTTTGTGCAAAGCCCAAAGATAGTAGCTTTTATTTCCTGAACCTCTGAACCTCGCTTTTGTGTTTGTTCCCATAAAGTGGCATGAAACCTTCCTTTTTACATGGTGGAATAATTATAAACAACAGCAGTCCGGATTATTTGGGGACGCTCTTTAGAGTCAGCCTCGTTGTGGGTGCATCATCTGGGCAGCAGAGAGCGCAGCAAGCCAACACTACGGTCAGATTGGCCATTGCTGCTGAAAAACGGCTTTGTCTAGTTTAGGACTTGGCTGTGACCCGGGCACTCTGGAGCCTTATGTGATAAGGGCCATTACAGTCCCCTTTCAGCTTTAAACGTTCTGATTAAAATAACTTGTTACAACCATTTTGCTGCATGAACGTTTCCCCAGCTTTTTTTTTTTCCCAAATCTATAGAACTGTCTGCCTCATTTGGAGGATTCTGCTTTCACAGGGCGTTTCTCAGGCATTCAGCAAAGCCTACCACCACGTCTGCATGCTGGAAAATGTTCTACAAGTGACGGTTACGGCTCTGGACTGGTTGTACCCCAGGGCACCCAGCATCCACGCGGTTACTGCGTACCTGGTGGAGCCTGGCACAGACGAGGTAGGTGGGTTACTACCGGGAGAAGGCCTGCAGTATCAGGGGCTGCAAGGCTGCTTTCGTGAGGACGCGCCATTTCTAGCTGCCTGTCATCTCCCAGGGGTTTTATCATAAAAACTGAAGCCTGTCTGGGGTTGTGCCTGCCCGTGCAACAAAAGGGCTACCAAGGCAAAAAGGGCTACCAAGGCAAAGAGGCAAGTAAAGGAGGCCACTCTTCATTCTTTTCATCCTCGCATGTAAAACCATTCAAGGGCACTGCTAGTATAGTCCCTTCTCCATGGGAAAAGGGAATATTCTCCTACTTCTGTGCTCACAGCTGCATAGCAACCAATACAGCAAACCCCCACACCTACCCACCCATCCATCGATCCATCCATTGACCCATCCACCCATCCATAGGTTAGCCAACACTGCAAGTCCCTGTAAAGCTGTGCTGTTTGGGACCTCTGCAAATGGACATGCTCTTCTGTGGAGATCCCATGCATGTCAAAATTATGGTATTTTACAGGAAAAAAGAATGTCCTAGCTAATGTATCAACTTTTCATTCTGAACTGATGTCAGCAGCCAAGACGTAAACACAACTCAGGAAGCGGCTGCTTCCCAATTAGCTAGTTTGCAAAGGCAGCCCCCCTCCCTGAAGATCACATTCCAGCTGTTCAGCAAGCTTGTCACTTCACGTACAAGTGAGTCAAGATGGAAAGTGTATGCGATATTTAGGACTGATCCTGTGTCATGACAAAGGCTGTGTGACATCTGCTGTAGCCATAATTCAGCTGCTTCCTCTGATAAGCATGGTTTATGTTGGCAGCTTTCTGTTGTCATCCCAGGCTCTGCACTGTTCCCTTGTTAGCCCTGATAGCCCGGTCATTTGCTCCCCTCTGCGCTTTTCACGTGTCAAGTCACACTGACACAAACATGACATGAGAAAGGGGACTGCAAGAGGATGGGAAAAAGGAGGAAAACCTCTTTTTGACCTGTGGGTGTTCCTCAGCATGGATTAAATCGTCTAGCTGAGGTCCAGGGCACATTCTTCATGAGGCTTGAGCAATACACTGGGACTAAACCCAAACATTGTTGGGAGATGTCTTTAAACCATCCCGTTGCACTTGAACGTACACAGGTTCCTTTCAGAAATAAACAATTTCCTCCCTCTCCAAGCTTCCAAATGGCTGTTCCTTTCTTGGGTGTAACTAGATGTCCCTTTTCTCTCTGGCAGATGTGGGAGTACGCTCTGCGCAAGATGATTACTGCAGATAGTACAGGACAAAAAGAAATTCATAGCTCTCCTGCTCTTCTCCTCAGGAAAGAAAACCCCTTGAGGTAGGCTCCAGCACCTGCAGTCGAACAGTCACCCCTCATGACTCTCCCCTTCCTCAGACGTTACACAAAGCCCATGGTAATGCAACCCCGCGGGTGTCTGGCTGTAGTGCTCCCGCTGTCAAGGCCTCTGGTGAGGTGGGTTGTGATACTGAGTTGTGAAGGGTGAGGAGTATTTTCTCTTGGAGTTTATGCCTGCAAAAACATAACTTCCAACTTCATGCCTAGCAGCTGACCTGCCAAGCAAGCTCTACATCTGCAATGAAAGGTTTGCAGGATTAGAGCCTACGTTGAACCATTTTGCTCTTTAGAATAATCCACCTTTTTTCCTGGCCATATTAGTCCAATTTACCTCAACTATCTGCTTCCTTCCACTGCCAAAATCCTCACAGACTTGTCTTCTTAAGCAGATCATCCTTGTTGTCGAAGTTGGTTGAACAGCCAATTGCTATTCCAGCAGATGTTTTTACTTTTTATAAAACTCCATAGAACAAATGTCAACACAGTTATAATCAGGAAATGGTTTGTTAAAGCAAGGTTTGTTAAATCCTCGGGATTTTCAGCAGTTGCCTTGGCTAAGCAATATTGTGTTACACTGTGCTATTTTCTCCTTTTTGTGTATGGTTTGGATGATACTTAAATCTGTGCATATTTCAGTTCAAGGAAATAAACAATTATTTAGTAATTTTATCAACAAGGGATGAATGGCATTTTACTAAAAAAAAGCTAAATAAATTGCTAAAACAAACCAGAATCGTAAAGTCTAGTCCATTTTTCCTCTCTTTACTCTCATTTCAGAGATTACCTATTTAAGTGCATCGACAGTTCACAGGTCATTCGCACTTCTGTCCATGGAGAATACCGCATTGCGGTACCTCTCCGTGACCTATCAGGGCAAACCCTTGGCATATATGATATCAGCATCGGACATCACCAGAAATTACCACCCCATGAACACAAAGACCTGCAGAAAATGCTCAAGACGGCCCAAGCTGCCTGCTCCGAGATCCTGAAGATGTCTTTAGAGGAAACAGAACCAG